GCGGCGCGGTGGCTGCACTGTACAGCCCTCAGCAGACTGCGTGGTAGGTACTCTTTTTTCGACAGAACCGGTAATAACTCAAAGATCATGTTATCAGTCGGTCGGAACTCACTGCAAGTAGAGGCGCCATGCTTCACTCCTTCGATTGGGTCTATCACTAAACAAACTATATGCCTTGTGTGGCAACAAAATGCAAAAGTTTGTTTTCGGGGCCAATCTAAACTTTTGGGTTTTGTTGCCAAACTGGATGGAAAATGAGTACGATGGTAATGCCAATCTAAGGTGCGGAGTCTCGCACGTCCTGCTGTTACGATTTCGGAGTGACTGATAGCATAGTATCCGCGTTATTCTCGGTTTTGTCGAAAAAAGAATACCTACCACGCAGTTTGCAAAGGGCTGTACTTCTACTCCTCACTACGATTCTACATGGGCGAAACTGCTTATCCTAATATCATGCTTACGGGTTTACCAGTGGCAGTGAAACATTACACGTGAGTAGGCAGGCAGCAAGCTTAACAATGACCGTCGCATCTGAACAGAGGGTCCACGTATCACTGAATAAAGAAGCGGCTTGCCTCCGCGACTCGAGAGTCAACGACCTTCAGGTCGTGATTGTGGTCCTAACGAGTGACCCACATCGGCTGCCGCCAGTCACGGAAGCAGCCCGGGGCTCCCTGGCGGCACGCTGACGTCATTTCACGGAATGTGGCTCTGCCCACCTCCCTGCGGACCGCAGCGCTGCGCCGCGGGACCGCACCGCTACCATGTGCTACCTGAAACGGGGATTATCATACGGAGGTGATTCACTGATTTACACTGCTCCCCGGAGCTTACTAAGAAGATAGAACGGATCATGCACCACTATACGGGGACCTTATTTGAATGGAGATGAGTTGAGTGACGCGTAAGCTCATGGAGGACTTTCATACGACATCAAGTTGCATGGGTAGCAAGATCACTAAAAAAATATTGTGAGGACAATTATACCTAATTCGTTGGCCTCCAAATGTGCCTTCCAGCACACTAGTTCTGCTACTCAGCGTATAGGTAGTTTCTTCTGTGCCTACAAAACATCTCAGTAACGGTATCAACTTTATTGACTCAACTTTCAACCCTCACACGAATGGACATTCGTGTGCCCGCCGAACCCCTTAGTGAATTGACCGGAGCCGGCACCACGTGCGACGTGCGTGGCCACCGGGACCGGACAGTTAGCCGAGCCCTGCCCCCGCCCCGTCCCGTCCCGTCCACGGAGGACCGTAAGGCGCACACCCGGTCCGGCGCGGCCGGTGGGGCTGGGAGTCTCACCCTAATAGAGAGCACGGTAGGACGTCCCAGTTCTCACAGACATACGGCGACGTCGGCTGAAGCCATCAAAATGTCATTTATCAAGGAGGATCCTTTTTTTGTGTGGCGATTCTGGTTCGCGCTTCCGGAGTTTTTTTTTGCGCTTCTCAATTGGCTGCTCAGCTAAAACTAATTGAATGGTGACACTACTGACGTCTTCAAACTTTTTACGGGGCTTTTAAATGTTCTGGAATGCCTACACAGCTGGAAGGCACACATACTCAGTTCATGCTGGCATGAAGCCTCCGAACGGCCAACCATTGTCAGCGGCTTGGCACAGCGAACAATTTGCGGCGCCCAGGACGGTACAATCTCTCGTACCTGTTCGCTTTATTATTGGGTGCTGATGCTGCAGCGGGCTGTTGTCTGATAATGGTCACTACTCACTGCTGCGGGACCGGCCGACTCGCGTCGTGCATGACCCCCACTGCACTGCTGGTGGATCCGGCCAACTCGTGTCGTGCCTGACCCCCACCACTGCTGTTGGATCCGGCCAACTCGTGTCGTGCCCCCACCACTGCTGGTGGGTCCGGCCAACTCGTTGTCGTGGCTGGTCCCCACCACTGCTGTTGGATCCGGCCAACTCGTGTGTGCCCCCACCACTGCTGGTGGGTCCGGCCGTCCCATGTCTGAGACTCTCCTCTGCTGAATATATAACCGTAAACCGGCAGTGTCCCTGGCATTCTGAGGTGGCCCCCTGGATGCTGCAGCCGTCTGCCGCTCCCTCAGAGAACACGCTCAGCGGTTATTATCCCCATGATCTGACAATGCAGCTGCGCCCAAACGGCTGACCTCTGACCCGGTCCTGACCTCCGATTGGTCAGATGACGGAGTCAAGATTCGTGCACGAGTTCAATGTGTTATCCTACCACGCCCAGGACATCAGCCGTCACCAGAAGTTCTTCTGGGCAGCTTGGGATATGTGAGACTGAAGTTACCATCCTATTCCAGCGACCAGCGACCTTGGAGTCGCTAGCCATCAGACCGTCAGAATGTTTGGACTGAAATCCCCAGACCACCGAGACAAAGTCACGGACTAAACACATGTTGCTCGCGTTGTGCTGCGGAACTGCTCACTACTGTGCCTCCCGTGTCCCCGGTCACCCATGGGTGGCGATTGGCGGCCACCGGCAGCCGGTGCTGCGCACATCAATTCTGAATACCATACCGCCTACCGATGACATTATTTCAGGTGCACTTCATGCAGGGCGTTTTCATTTTACGATGTGGAGCTGTAACAGGCCGTATCTATAGGTAATGTGGCGGCAGTTTTGCTTTCCCACCCATAATAGGGCTTTATTTTATTTCCATGAATACATACTTGCTGATGTCGACCCGGGCGCTCTGTGCAACGGACCCGGAAGGTATTCGGGCATACCGGTGAATTGGAGGCTGGCGATGCGGTCGTTCGTTGTTGTATAATCTACTTTGCAACAGTCGCTCTTTATTTGCTACCAAGGCCCCGTTTCATAAAGCGAGTCCGTAACTTACGCTGGTTTTTGGTCTTATTGCAAGTGCATGTGAAGCGATAAGTTTATTTCCACGCCTCCCTTCTGTTCTTGCTTGCAAGATAAATAAATTCAACGATTCAAACTAATGTCATCGCTTCATATGCATTTGCAATACAAGATCAAAAACCGTCCGAAGTTACGGACTCGCTTTATGAAACGAGGCCCTGGACTCATAGTCGCTAATTCGAATAAGATGTGATTTTATTATTATTTTGACCCAGCATGGGCTTGCGTGGAGAGTCTCGGCAGTGTACCTGCAACCCTTCGCCCCAGTAGGGGCTGGGGGGCATTGTTACCATCCTGTCGCGTTTTTTTTTGCGTGTGAATAAAAAACCGCGATGCGTAGCGCCGCGCCGGTTGGAGTAGCTTACTGCACATCAATTTTGAACAATGTGTGAAATTTTTGACCCCAGGCTATGTCAGGTCAGGTCACCAGGTCAAGTTAACTGACAAAGCCTAAAAAAGTTTGCAATCATGTCCAGCCTGCAATGTTTGTCAGAGAGATTTTAAACTTGGTGGATTGCATGATGTTATGGGCACCTATAATTTGTATATCTCGGATTTTTTATATCCTTGACCTAAGGTCAGGCCAGTGGCGTGACCTTTCCATTATCAGTCAATGGCGAAAAATGAAAATGCCTCTAGATCCGTGTGTACGCATAGGAACAGTCAAAATGCTTCACAATCACAATGATTTGGAGCACCCGTGACGACCAAGGTGTCTTTTTTGCTGATAGCCTCTAGAAAGGTCATCCGAGGTCATTTGAGGCTACAAACAGCCTTTTGCCAATAACTCGATTGGAAAGAGATAGAACGCTGGGGATGGCTTCATTGTGTTTGTCTTGTAGAGACGCATCGATTGATATGCAACATGACCTATCTGGGTCATCGCGTGACCTTGACCTGAGGTCAAAGTTAGAACTTGACCTTTCCAGCTAAAAAATATATTTTTCGAAGCAACTGAAGAAGAGAAACACAATAGTGCCATCGCCAATTCTTTATCTTTGCTGGTTTAAAAGTTATTCGTAAAAAAGTTGATCCAAAAACAGCTATTTTCACAATGTTTGACCTATGGAGGCTTAACCGTTGATCTGACGTCAATTTTGATGATGACGCTATCAAAAGAAGAGTTAAAAAGCTATCGATTGCTTTTCCATGCGTTTTTCTAGCGATCATAGTTCCTGAGATAACGGTATGTTTTCTGAAACATATAATGACATTTGACAAATTTTGTCCTTTGATGACCTCTGGTAACCCCAATATTGCTCTAAGATGAAAAATGGCTGAAATATTTTCAAACGTACGCATTGAGAACTATCGATTGCTTTTTACCGCGTCTTTCTAGCCCTGTTAGTTTTTGAGTTAGAGGTGGGTGGTAACATAAGCCTCCACCCACTATGGCGAAGTTGGCTAAGACCGCCAGTCGCCACTGGGGCGCGGGTTAAGTTCCAAGGCACAATAACTGCGGAAGGACGTGCTCATCGCACTTACTCTCGTCAGAGAACAGACTGGTCCTACCAAGAAGCGGACACGGCACCTGTACTCTGTATTGGTCAACATATCAATTATATGACTCTGGAAAAATACACAGTTCTATTCGGTCGATGCCTCTGGACGATGGAATGTGCACTTTGTGGTTTGTTGGGCACCGTTTTATGGATGTTGGCTAGCAAAAACGATTATTTTTGACTGAATGCCGCGCGCTATTCCTGTGTGACGTGTCATGAGCAGCTGCCATGCAAAACGCACTTCATAATAAGATCATTTAACTGATAAACTAGCCGAATGTTATTGTTCGGCATAAAATCTGCCATGTTTTCAAATTAAATTGCGAGCGTAGGGGGACTCATTGTTATGAACTTGTCACTAGGGGCGTGTGTTCGGCTTTAACAGTCGTTGTTATAAAGCACTGACTGAAAAATAGGTCATTTCGCATTTTGCGGCGCCCGGGACGACAGCGTAGCTCGACAGGCGGGAGTCAGTCCCGACAGTTCTGTCGGAGTAGATCACCAACAGCAGCAGCTTCGCCGGGCACTACCGATCGGCTGTATTCCGCCAAAGACAGCCCCTGAAGTCTGAATTCGTCGCACGAATCCCAGCAACAACAAAATTATATCACGGCCCAGTGAGCTGACCTTATCGATGGCCGACGGCTCACTGAGGAAGGAAGCACGCCTCTTCGAAGATCTCATGTTGCTGGCAGGCGGCAAGGGCCGCTGGGAAGTAATGTTCTTCTGCTGGATGCTGCTGATTGTCACCACTATCGGATACTGCAACATGGCCATGGCCTTTATGGGCGAGACGCCCGCCTTCCTCTGCGCTGATGGCCAGCCGAAGAACGCCACCTTCGCGTCTCTCTCGGAGGCGGCCGCCGAGCGGTGCCGCGCGCCGGACGGCCAGCCGTGCCGCCGCTGGCTGTACGACTCCAACTACACCGGCTCCTCGGTGGTCACCCAGTGGGACCTGGTGTGCGAGCGGCGTCCGCTGCTCTCCATGGGCCAGTCCATTCTCCAATTTGGAGGAGTGGTTGGCGCGATGCTGGCCGGGTTTTTCAGCGACAGGTTTGGCAGGAAAATTGTTCAACACACCATGATCTCAATGTTCGTATCAGGATCGTTCCTCTCGGCTGTTAGTAGCCGATACGAACTGTTCCTGCTGTCACGATTCATCACGGGTATCGGCATGACGGGCAGCATCAGCTGCTGTGTCGTGCTAGTCATGGAGCTGATCGCCCTCGAGTGGCGGGTGTGGGCCGGCCAGCTGCTGACGCTGCCGCTGCCGCTGGGCGAGATGCTGCTCGCGGCAGCAGCGTACAAGTTATGCGTCTGGTGGCACCTGCAGCTCGCCCTGTCGGCTCCTATGCTCATCTTCGTCCTCAGCTTCTGGCTGGTGCCCGAGTCGCCACGCTGGCTGTTTGTGCAGGGCCGTGACACGGAGCTGCTGCGAGTCCTGGCAGCCATCGCGCGTGTCAACGGCCGCCAGCTTCCCGAAGAGAGTCAGATGATGAAAATGCTGGAGGATGTTCGTCACTGTGAGATGGGCGTTCAGAAGACCGCTTCTGAAACATCGCAGCTCTGGCGCTCTCCTCTTCTTCGCAGGTGGATTCTGGCCACCTGTTTCTGCTGGGCGGGCTTTAACGCTGCCTACTACGGCTTGTCGTTCGGCATGACCCAGCTGAGCGAGAGCCGATTCGTGTCCGGCGTGCTGTCAGGCCTGGTGGCGGTTCCCGGCTCCTTCCTGTCCCCGCTGATTGACCGGCTCGGTCGCCGTCCGGTCACCTCCGTCTTGTTCCTCCTCACTGGCGTGTTCATGATGCTCGTCCTTATCAACGACGACGCTACTCTGATGCTGGTGCTGGGCCTTGCCGGTAAGCTGTTCATCTCTGGGGTCCAGAGTGTGTTGTGTTTCTACACACCGGAGTATATCCCCACCTCTGTCCGTGCCGTCGGCTATGGACTCGCGGACCTCAGCGCGCGGTTCGGGGCGATGGTGGCCCCGTTTGTGGTTGACCTGATCGGGGATCTGCACGACAAGGCGCCGTCGCTGACGTTCGGCGCGTGGAGCCTGCTGGCCGGCCTGGCGTCGCTGCTGCTTCCCGAGACCACGGGCCGGCCGCTGCCGGAGACGGTAGCCCAGCTGGAGGCGGGCATCTTGGACCGGCCCCAGGGCGACAGCGATACAACCGAGCCAGACGCCAAGGACGGCGGCCGTGCCACCGGAACAGCGCCGGATGTTCTGCGTGATGCGACTTCAACTAAGGAGGAAGGGACAGCTGCTAGCATAGAAATAACCAAATTGTGATTGGTGGTCTGCTCATGACTGACGCCCTGCTGCTGAAGATGCATGGCACCTCGCAATATTTTGCAATGTTAGCTGAACGGTTGAAAATGAAACGGGCACTGTCATTCTGTCAGACAGGTCAAACTGTCAAACAAAGCGCACACTCGGGCTCGGCTCGGCTATTCCCTTTGTTTGCACGGCATGCTAGGCATTGATGTCAGGCGGAAAATGTTTAGTTTGTGATTGACCGGAATACACATGACTCCATAAAACGATGCAATAAGTTTTTTTTACCAAGAAACGGTCTTCTTTCCGGAGGAATGATTAACGACAGAGTTAGGTATATGTATCTCGTTAGGTACCTATAGCGTTTGGTCATAATCGTCATGCCGTCACCTATCTGTCTCTATGATCATAATAATTTGCTTCTCATTAAGAGACACGCCAAAAAATGTATCTACATCAAATGTGTGTGTTTTTAACCATTCAGGCGGCATTGATTGTGCGGCATCACGAATTTCGCCTGACATCGTCCGTTCCCGAAGCACCGGTTTTATACGGTAATTTTGTTTATCCACCCTAACCCGTCAGCTCTGTCAGGCCAAGTTAATGTTAACTTCTCTTGCATTTGCATGGTTGTAAACAGAGGCAGAAAATTCACCTAATATTAGACTTGTTTCGCTTTGCACAATACATATCTACATTGAGTTATTTTTTCACGCTTTTATGGGAATAACCGATGGTTGTCAAATTCAATTTGAATTTGACGCTAATACAATTGGAACAGCGAACTTACTCAGTGTTTCATTCGAAACGTTTCTCCTTCTTTCAGGACTCGGAAGGGTAATTCAAAAGATTTCATAAATACAGTCATGGGATACAGTACAATAACCCTTGTTAGACGGGTTCCCCTTCGATATACGAGGCTGTTGCAAAGTCTAGACGATGTGGTGCCCTGGTGCCTCAGTGACACTGTTCTGTCGCTTACGACGGATAACATTAGCCGGGAATTCATTGATATGGTTAGCTCTGTTACTGTTCTACTGGATACAAAGGCCCTGGCGACTAAACGTTAACGTTCAGTCGCGGGTCTACGCTGAACGAGGGTGGCCGGTGGGATGGGGTCGGTGTTTACTGTCACGTCTGTCGCCAGACCCTCCAAACATATTGGTGGGACGCTCTCGGTCAGTGAACACATTTTGTTGCCTCTTTTTGTTAGGCCACGCAGTTTCTATGTGAGCCTTGCAATACCGACTCTTTAGTGCCCTGACAACACCTGTGTACTGTGTAGACATCAGGAAAGCATCGACGCGGTATTATTGTTTGGGATAAGGTTTTGGTTGCCATTGGTGTCATTGTCTTGTTGGCTTATAATATTGTATCGCTCGCAGCCGCCCAGCAACAGCCTCCTCTGTGTGTATTCGCAGGGTGATGCGGCTGCTGCTGGTGCTGGTGCCGCTGCTGCTGGCTGGCCGGTGCGCCGGCGGGCCGCTGGTGCTGCCCTCCGGCGGCGTGTCGCCGTCCCGCCAGGTGGCGCCTAGCCAGGGCATCCTGGGCGAGCTGCAGCAGCTGTTCAGGGAGGCGGCCGCCGGCCAGCAGCAGGCAGAGTACGGCGACGCCCGCGAGGAGCTTGAGCAGATGGTGGCCAGCCTGGACCAGCTGGCGGCCGTGGTGCCGCTCGGCCAGCAGGACGCGCCCGGCAGTGAGTCGGTGACGGTGTCCACCACCACAGAGGAGCCGGCCAACGTGCCCATCATCGACCCAGGTCAGCGCCGCGCAGCGACAGGAAGGGAGACGGGGGATGGGACGGCGCGGGAGGGGATAGAGGTGCCTCCAGTGTCTTCAGTGAAACGTGACACGAGTATCCTGGGGAGGACGTGGTTCTTTTTATCAGTTCATCGTCGTTTCTCGTCGTTACCTGTGCTGCATTCGTAAGTGCGTAACATTGCGAATATTTCACGTTTCGTTGACTTATCCCATGTTTTTGCAGGTCTGTTTGTGATCCAGGGTGTGAAGACGTGCGGTGACGGCGCCGGCTACTGCATGCTGGGCGCCAACTGTTCGGCCGACTCCGACTTCAGCGCCGACCCGTCGGGCCACTGCGTCGGCCTGCGCACCGCCTTCTCGCCGCCGGCCGACTTCTCGTGCTGTCAGTTCGAGGCGGCGCGCCGGCGCACGGCCACGCCGCGGCCCACGCCCACCACCACCGAGGGCACCACCTTCGACGACGGCTTGGTCGACTCCATCGTCAACTTCGGCAACGACGTGCCCGAGCGGCCGAGCGACGACAGCAGCCAGATCGTCGACATCGTGGCCATCATCACCGACAGCACGGGTATCGTGGACATCGTGACTCGGCCGTACACGGGCCCCTGGCCGCCGGTGGACAGTGACGACGCCGAGGGCGTCACGCTGCCGTTCGCCAAGCCCGGCGAGACGTTCGAGCCCGGCTCGCTGGTCGGTCTGGGCCAGAACGTCAACCTGGGCACGACGCCGGCGGACACGTTCCAGGCGGGCGACCTGCCGCCAGAGGAGGAGCTGCAGGCGGCGGCCGGGGTGACGGCGGCGCCCGGCGCAGAGCCCATCCTCACCACGGCGGCCACCACGCCGGCCACGCCGGCCGGCAGCACGCCGAGCACGGCCGAGAGCACGGCCGCCGAGCCGCCGCCGGCCGACGGCGACCCGCTGGGCCCGCTGTCGGCCGTGCCCGTCATGGATCAGAGCCAGGACTACATTGGGGACGTGGACTACGACCAGCACCTGATGCCGGCGCTGATGCCCATCCGGCCGGGCACCAAGGCCGGCGGTGTGCAGGCCAACGTGGAGGGCAGCGGCGCCGCGGAGGACGGCCCGGCGGCGGACGGAGACGCGGCGGGAGAGGTGTTCAGGGTGGGCATTGAGAGCGATGCTGCTGATGACCTGCTGGAGCTGGCTCAGGACCTCACCGAGGGCTCTGGAGTGGCCATTCTGAGGGACGATGAGGGGGACCACCAGGAGCAGCAGTCGGCTCCGACCGAGGATAAGGAGCAGGCTAAACAGGAGCTGGAGAAGTCTGAGCTGCAGTCGGAGTCGAATCAGGTGTCTGTGTCGGAGTCTGTGTCGGAGTCTGTGTCGGAGTCTGTGTCGGAGTCTGGACACCAGAAGCCGGCGAGGCCAGCGCCAGTGTCCGGGGTGGTGTTCCAGAGACCACCAGTCTCCGGAGGGCCCAAGGGCTCCCACGGCAGCCTGTCGACCTCCATAGGCCAGCCCAGCTGCGGCGTCATGGGCTCCTCGCTGGCCACCCTGCTCGCCAGAAACCGATTCGTAAGTTCACCAAATGATGGCTCGACTACCGTTTTTTTTTCTCCACGCACTGAAGTTAATAGAAACGCTTAGCTTAGATGCGTTAGCATGTTTTAAATGTGCAGATTCCCTAAGTCGAAACCCGTTCTTAGGCTCGATTGAGCTTGTTGCGCTGGTCCTGACCTCTACCGCCCGCTCAGGAAAGTGTGGGTAAACGGTGGATTGTAGAATGAAACTTTTGATAATTGTCCACTGAGCCAAACACATCATGTGTAGGTATCTTTGGAAAATAAGCCATCTCCGTGTAACCGAGATTCCTTTAAGGTTCCACGTCCCATATGACCCTGTCGCCTTTTGCAGTGTTGCCACGGTGCCGACAGCCCCATGGCGCATGGTCTGGATGGCCGCTCTTCTCTGACCTCTATCTCCCCCCTCCGCAGCGCCCGCGCATTGACGACAGTCCGGAGGGCGGTGAGGGTGGATGTCTGCTCCCATATGACCTCTATCCCTCCCCCCGTCCGCAGCGCCCGCGCATTGACGACAGTCCGGAGGGCGGCGAGGTAACCAGCGCCGTGGTCTGGTGCTGGATGGCGGCCATCATGCGGAAGACGCGCGACCCGGAGAACCCGTACAGCTTCGTGTGCTCTGGCACGCTGGTGGAGCGGGACCTGGTGGTGACCACCGCCAGCTGCGCCTCTAGGTGAGACACATATGTCACCGTTACCGGTGTGTAACAGTGTGTGTGCTAGTGGCTAGTTGTCTGTTGGTTTCGCCATGCACACTGCACAGAGCACGTACAATCGGCTACAATGCAGTAAAATAGAGCACAGGATCGTTTCATTACATTGATGGTAAATCCACCGCATTGTGACCTGTCGTGCTGCTGATTTGTTGAATGTTTATTGGATGGAAACGGTGCGGATATTTTGCCGTAGCCCGCCAGAGCAGCTGACGAGTGCCTGGCCGTCGAACGTCAGACGACCACCCCACGTCACTCTGATGTCACGCCTGAAACGAACCGTGTACGGGTGACGCGTGTTCATAGTGACGTCAGCATGTCTCGCAGCCAAGCCGAGAACGTGTGGTATGCTGTCAGGTCTCCTCGGCTACAGACGCTGATTCGAAAGTCACCTCTGACCTTTCTAACGCCCCTCTCCTCTCCCGGCGCCGGTCAGGCTGTTCCAGGAGCCGCTGCGTGACTTTGTCGTGCTGCTCGGAGCCTCCAATCTGCGCGTCAACCTCGAGTTTGGCGTGCAGCACATGGAACTGGATGAGATCATCGTTCATGAGGATTACCAGATCAACAGTCACGTGCACGCCAACAACATCGGTGAGAAAAATGGCGGTGAGCGCGGCCGGGCGCCGGCCGCCGACGCTGGTGGAGCTCAGGCCCGCTATTAAGGTACATGACGGTTTTTTGTTTGTTTTTGTTTTGTTGGGTTAGGCCCTTTCGGTCCAGTTAGACCATTTCAGAGCCGGGAGGATGATAGGATATAGGGGGAGACATTGGTCTGGGCAGGCACCCTAGTGAGTCGCCGGGGCTGAGCCCGTCCAGAGGACAGGCCACCCAGCCCCAAGGCACTCACTGCACCCGGCTACGGGGTGCGCTCCCTCGGGAGCAGCGGTGCCGCTCCAAGGGAGCAGCCCGCATGAGATAAAGTTGCCTGTCCAGCCCGGAGGGGGGTTGCGGCGTGGAGGAGAAGGATTTCAGTATCCTGAGGATAGAAGCACGGAACGGGTGGTACATGACGGGGTGGGCAACCGCAGGCGACGGTGCGACGGGCGCATGAGCTAAAGCGTTTTGGATGGACATTGGACGGTTTATACTGTGGTTGGTTTGGACTCTGTGTTCACTGTATGCTTTTCTGAGCACCAACCTGTTGGGGCTGTCCTCTCTAATCTCTCCCCGTCCCGAGTCGTTGTCCGTGGGCTCCCTAGACCCTAACCACCTCGCCCTCTATCGTGTAGCATTTCTGTCTCATTGGGCGGCACATACGTCATTGACCACCAGACTGTCTGATCATGCTGACCGCCCCACCCTCAGGCCTTGTGAAGCTTCCCGGTCCGGCAGTGCTGGTCCCTCTGACTGCTGTGTTTGCCCCACCCTCAGGCCTTCTGAAGCTGTCCCGGCCGGCGCTGCTGGAGCGCACCGTCTGCCTGCTCTGTCTGCCGCCGGAGAATATGGAGCTGACCGGTCGGCAGAGCTGCGCCGTCACCGGATACGGCCTGGCCGACTCGCGGGACGCAGCGACGACTCAGCAGCAGGGTGAGTCAATATAGAGTCTGTAGTCACTCGAGAGACGCGGCGACTCAGCAGCAGGGTGAGTCAGTATAGAGTCAGCAGTCACTCGAGAGATCACGAGCTGACTCAGCAACAGGCCGGTGAATCAATACAGAGCGATGCGACTTTCCAACGTTGATTGATGTGTATCGATGATGTACTCGTATCTCGATGATGTATTGATGCATGCATCGATTACTCGCTCGCACGTGTGTTCTGTGACCCCGTTTGTCCGTACCCTGACCCGCCCCTGATGCGTGTGACCTCTGTGTATCAGCTGCGGCACCGGAGCTGACCCGTGTGACCCCTCGATGTATCAGCTGCGGCGCCGGAGCTGCCTGTGCGAGGTGTGTGACCTCTCTCCGCCTCTAACCTCTGTGACCTCTGTGTGTCAGCTGCGGCACCGGAGCTGACCCGTGTGACCTCTGTGTATCAGCTGCGGCACCGGAGCTGACCCGTGTGACCCCTCGATGTGTCAGCCGCGGCGCCGGAGCTGCCTGTGCGAGGTGTGTGACCTCTCTCCGCCTCTAACCTCTGTGACCTCTGTGTGTCAGCTGCGGCGCCGGAGCTGGCCGGCGTGCTCCGGCAGACCCACGTCCCGGTCATGGGCGGAGAGCAGTGCCGCGCCAGTGGCGCCATGCAGCGGCTGGCCAGCGCACTACCGGGCCTGGACGAGCGCAGCTTCCTCTGCGCCGGGGGACGACGGTTCGCGGACGCCTGTCACGTGAGTGCTGGGGTCGGGTCACGCTGTGGTGTCATCTGAGGGGTCAGCTGTCTTTCAGTGCCAGCTCGTGGTGACTAGCGGAACTGGAGCTGTCTACTACACTCGGGACTGAACAGGGCTGGTTGCCATCGACGCGATGAAATTATTCAAGGTTGGACCTTATTCCGGCATGCCCAGAGCGTTTACAGAGCTTACGTTAAAATGACATTTAATAAACAAAGGTAATTGTTTCATAAGGTCATGCGGTCCACACAAGAGTGCAGTGGCTGCGCCCGCATGCCCCAAAACCGGTTCTGTGTGAGCTGCGTTGCAGCGTGCACTGGCGCTGCACTACTGTTAACGCCAGACCCCTTGAGACCCTAATTTTTCGCGATTATTTTTAAATGCGTGGAAGAATTTCAACCAAGCTCAGGACATGGCCGTTTCAAGACCTGCCGAAACTTTTACAATTTAGATATTTTGTCGCCATTTCAATATTTCAGGCACTTCTCATTGACTCGTAATGTTAAATTTCGAGCAAGATTTTCACCCGGTGTGTAGAGGCTATCACCAGTCAGTCTGTGATACGTTATGACGTCAAAGCTAAGCCCCGCCTCTGTGGTCTTGGCCTGCGGCGGTTTCGGGCCGGCGCGCGGTCACTCGCGCTGTGGCGGGGAGCGGGGACGGTCGAGCGGTGCCGAAAGCCGGCGGAGTTGTGCGTAACGTCTTGTCTGACAGTGCCCAAAGAGCGACATGATGACTGAGGAGCCATAAATGCTCATTGTTTGTACAATGCTGATAGGTTCGCTGATATTTGTTTTATTTTCATAAGCTGCAAATGACGGGCAGATGGCATATACCTGACATAGCGTTAGGAAATATTCACCTGTATTTAAAGCCTATGACGTTGCAGATAATGTGATAATGGGATGTCGGATGTCATCAAGTAGTTGCTGATTTGTACATCGCTATGCAACCATCGAACGACGCAATAATTAGTTAATTGCCTTCGCTTCACACCATAAGGCTCGCTCGTATTTCAAACATAATATCCTACATCGAAAATCGTATTTGTTAGGAATCTTCAACGTTTGTTCGAAGCGTGTGTGAGTAGTAGGTTTAGGAGTGATGGTTCTCTTGGTCCTATATACGAGAGTCAACAAGAGCTTAACATTTACTTGACCGTCTGCTGCAATTTGAATTGATACATAGCACGTGAAGCGTCAGCGAAATTCATAAGTCCTTTACAGATGGCAGGGGTGTCGTGTGTACAGAGGTCGCTGATGGGCACGGGTCAATGCCGCAGTCGTGGGCGGAGCCTAATGTCATATGACGTATGAAAGCCTCTATCCAGGATGGAAAAACAGTTAACATTACGAGTCAATGACAAGTGCCACAAATATTTAAATGACAACAAAACGTATTTGAAGAAAAAGTTTCGGCAGGTCTTGAAACAGCTATTTCGTAAATATGGTTGAAATTATTCCACGCATTTAAAAATAATCGCGAAAAATTAGGGTCTCAACGGGTCTGGCGTTAACAGTAGTTCCGGACGGGGTGAGACAGGACGGGGCGCACTGAGCAGCGGCCGAGTCGGGATACCGACCACAGGGGGAGAGGTGGGCTGGGCCAGGGAGGCATAGGACACTTGTCCGCGTGGCGGGGCGAGACTAGCGAATAATGCCGAATAATGCTGAGTCGCCCATGAACGGGCTGCTGCTGTAGCTAGTGTAGTTGCTAGGCCAGACACTGTTCATAGGACGATCGTCGACTGCTGAGTACGCTACTGTTGCTTTGTCAGCTGGCTATAAATAGCTTTCTTGCAGCCGGCCTGTGCAGCTCTACGTCAAACTAAATGACGTTAAAGCCCACCTGTCCTCCCTCCCCCTTCCCTCCCCCTTCCCCACGCTCCCCTCGTTTCTGCCCTGACCCCTGTGTGACCCCCTGTGCGCCCTCCCGGCCGCCGGCAGATCTCCCGGGACGGCAGCAGTCCTCTGGCGTGCATGGCGGCGGAGAACGGCCGCTACTACCTGTACGGCCACATCGCCCGGGACGCCGAGTGCGGCGACACGTCCCAGCCGCACGTCTACACCAACGTGGCCAGTCTGTTCGGCTGGATCAGGGACAACTACGGACGCCTGGCCAGGAAGGCGGCCGCGCCGGCCCGGTGAAGGACGCGCGGGGCCGAGAGGGGTCGGGGCGAGCGGGGTAGGACTGGTGAACATGGTCCGTTTACCGCATAGACGCGTCACCTTTCGCCCATACATAGAACAAGACTCAATGATATTTTTAGAGGCATTTTTCTATGCAATTTTACGTTTGCTTCTTGTGTGACTTTGAAGGTTTCACATCCCTGTGCCGTCCTGTTATGATCTGAGCAGAAAACGATTAGTGTGCCGCCCATGTCTGTCTGCGTAAGGATATAACAGGTTATAATAAGCAGCCTGTCGTCGATAGTTACGGTGAAAGTTTCAAATTTGAGCTGTTTTGTACGAAGTGGATACTTCCAGGCACCCGGGGACATAGCAGCGCAGTTAATGGCGAATCGTTATCCCCCTCTATTGATTTTGTGTTCCGTGGGCTTCCATTGCAGCTGGCAGGCAGACGACGCAGTGCTGTCGTTTATTTTTGAGCCACCCGACGGTGGCGGTATCCGGAGGGCATTGGGTCCGTAAGCGCCCGTATATCTGCCAAAGATATATCATCGATTTGTGGAGCGCGCCGCCAGTGTTGACTGTATGTCTGTGCTAGAAATAGATGTTGACTATATTATCGATGGCTCCAGTCTGGGATGAGCGGAGAAGTAACGGTCGCACTCGGTGATAGTTATAACCGCGGACCGTTGTGCGGGACGTGGGCTCACAATTCACAGTCAGTTCCGCTACCCTTCCACGGTCGCGTGAGAACGGGACTCGGAATCCTCGACTGGGAGACCGTCACCACCTCTCACAGAGAACCCGGCCCGTTTAGGCTGTGAACTTTGGGGTGAAGGCGGGCGCTGACCAATGTCCCGACCGGCGTGCCACTGAGATCGTGGCTAATTATATCTCTCGTCTACATAGTCACACAGGCCCTTTGCAATGCAGGTCTCAATTGTATTGACATTATCGATACACGAACAAATACATTTCACACAGTTCACTCCTCAGCATGCCCCCATGGCACAACCATGGTTGTAAAAACAGTCTCAAACGGCTTCCAAGCGCCAAGCTGAGGGACCCGACGTCCCGTCTGTGGGTTGAGTTGTACCAATGTGTCATAAATAGCTGGGCGACACATGTCATTAACATAAACAACAGACTATCATCAGATCTAAACAAAATCAAACCGTATTGTACATCGACGTCAATGGTAAAAGTATATCAGCAGCCACAGTGAGCCCAACAATAACAATTCAGAGCAAACTGCTCAGCGCAGCGTCGCGCGACACAAAAACACACCACACTCACACATATCGACAATATTCGAGGACGCGCACATACCGCTCTCTCCCTCTATGTACAGCTGCGCGGCAGACGGCGCTCACAGCAGCTGCCTCCGCTCTCTGCCGGCGGGCGGTCCCTCTGCAGAGAGCGGACCGCGTGGCGGCGCCAGCTGCCCCACACAGCGCGGCCAGCGGTCAGCGGCGCTAGCTGCCCCACACAGCGCGGTCAGCGGCGCCAGCTGCCTTCCAATACAGCGCGGTCAGAGTGCCGCAGCTGCCCTCCAGCGCAGCGCGGTCAGCGGCGCCAGCTGCCCTCCAGCACAGCGCGGTCAGCGGCGCCAGCTGCCCTCCAGCACAGCGCAGTCAGCGGCGCCAGCTGCCCTCCAACACAGCGCGGTGGGGGTGCCGCAGCTGCCCTCCAGCGCAGCGCGGTCAGCGGCGCCGCAGCTAGCCCGAACAGTCGTCCGCGTGGCTGTCCCAGGCCTCCACCTGGCGGGCACGCCGCAAGTCGGGTCAGTCGGACGGCGGTACGAGTGGTGACATTCAAATGGCCAGGGCGGGCGGCGGTATAACCAGGTGGTACGGAGTGGGGGATAGCGGTATGACCAATCCGTTCAAATGCCGAAACTAAGGAACCAGTTGACTCCTGTTTGACATGCTTTGCTACCAGCAAACACGTGTACATGTCTCAAATGAAGTTGGTCAAACGAATCGCTTCAGCAATGCACCTTCACAACGCCCACGTGACTTTCGCTGGAGTAGCAGCAGCACCCTGTCCATCTCTGGACCAGCGGCAGCGCTGATCCCTCCCTGGAGCAGTCTGGGGGTCTTTTACCTGGCAGTCCCTGAAGCAGTACAGATGGAGGGGTGACTGACTGGGAGGGGAAGCTCACCCGACAGTCCCTGGAGCAGTACCACAGCTGGTGAGAGGGCCTCTCACCTGACAGTCTCTGGAGCAGTACCACTGATAATTGGTAGGGTGGGGTGGGGTGGTGGAATATGTCTAGTGGACAGTCCCTGGGCCAGTTCCACTAGTGCTTGGTAGGGTAAGGTGGTAGAATATGTCTCTCACCTGACAGTCCCTGGAGCAGTACCACTGGTGGCCGCAGCCGGCGCACACGAACTGCGCCTGCCGCTGCTGACAGCCCTGGCAGAGCGGCACCTCCTCGGTGGCCGGCGGCGGCGGCGGAGGGGCGGTCGGCGCCGACACGCGCGGCACCGGGGAGCGCAGAGACAGCTGCGCCTGGGGCGACTGCAGCACGCCGCCCGACAGCGGTCCGGCCGGCCGGCGCTGCGGCAGAACGGTACACGGTCAGACGGTACAGCGGCGAGCGGGGACTGCTGACGTCACAGGGGCGGACTGGCCGGCTGACGGCCCGATGGGCCAGTATTGGCAGAAATAAAAACAGGGAAATGTGGGCGGTAATTCCCAGCCGAACGGACGGCAGCTATCATGGTGCCACAAGCAGAAAGACGCCACTGCTCAGGGCCGGCGAGTATTACTAAAATTGCGACTTGGATCACAGACGTTACGTAAGAAGGACCTGTCGTTATTCAGCGTGCACCCGGGATACGAGTTTATAGTGAATGCCTGGTGGGATACCCGGATGCACGCCATTACTTGAGTTGTCAATGGAAGTGTGACTACGTGAAAATCCCTCAAATCCACAGCAGTTGACCACAAATGACCAATAAACACCAGGTCCAGCTATGACCTCAATCGCACATCGAGCTCCTCACGCCAACCTCCCACGGTCGTCTCACCTTGAGCATCTCGGAGACCACGGAGGTGGGCTCCACCTGCTTCATCTTGCTCTCCATCAGCAGCTTGGCCAGGCTGGACTGGGGCTGCGCGCCGCTGGCCGCGTCTGTGCCGGGCGCGCTCACCTGGTGTATGGTGACCTCGCCAGTGCCGCCGGCCACCGACGCTACGGCCGCGGCGGCCGCCGCCGACGGCGCCTTGCTCAGTTTGGCGATCTGCGCCAGCATCTCTCGGTACTGGGGGTCCTGCTGGCCGGCCGGCGCCGAACTGGCTGGCAGCGGCACGGCCAGGTCAGCGCGCCGCCGGTAGTCGGCCGCGTGCCGGTCGATCAGGTGCTGCACGCTGATGGTCGGACCCTGCGGACCCATGCCCTGGCCCATCCTGCTGGCGCCGTACGCCGGCCGGATGGGCCGCAGACCGTGCGAGGACTGCGCGCTGAGCGCGGCCGCCGCCGCCGCCGCGCGCTGCGCCTGCTGCTGCTTCTGTTTGTGCTGCTGCAGCTGCTGCTGCACCAGGCTGCTGGCTACCGAGACGGGGGAGCGCGCCGGGGGTACGACCGCCGAGCCGGAGCCGCCGCTGGCCGGGCCGGCCGCCACGCGCTGCGCCAGCCCGGCCGCCTCGTCACTCTGCTGCATCAGCAGCACCTCGCGCTTCCGCCGGAGCCGCTGGAACGTCTCCTCCTTGGCCTTGCGTAGCTTCAGCAGGTTGTCCCATTCCTTCTCCTTCTGCCGCGCCAGCAGGTCGATGGCCTTCACCTCCCTCTTGAGCTTGTGCAGCGACGACTCGATCAGCTCGACGGTGCGCAGGCAGGCCAGGTCGGGCGCCAGCGGCGTGGCGCGCTCGTTCGGGTCCACGCGCGCCCGCTTGGCGGCGCCGTCCTCGGTCGTCTCGCCGCTCCGTTTGTGCGGCGCTGCCGGTGTGGTGGCGGCTCCCCCGCCGGCGGTGGCGGCCGTCTGCGGCTGCTGCTGAGCCGCCAAAGGCGCTGGGGCGGTGGTTGTCGGCGGCGGCGGCGTCTCCGACTCGGCGGCAGCGGCGGGCGGCGCCGGCGCCGGCTCCGGAGAGTCGCGCCCGTTCACCACGGGTGGCTCCGACTGGGCCTCCTCCGCTGGTGGACACAGGACACTGCGTCAGCTATCAGCCCGGCGGAGCTCGGACCGAACACCGGGTACGGGGAGCCGTCAGTGGCGCTGGTACCGGGACAACAGCCGTTAGTGCCACTGGCACCGGGCACAGGTCACGTCAGTGCCAGTGGGACACTAGACAGCACACATCAGTTCCACTAGTACGGGAACAGCACACAGTCAGTTAGAACTGAGGGAACAAGTCTGCCGTACTGGAGAGCAATCTCATCAGTAGCTCTACGGATGACGAAAAGTGGTGAAAAGGTAGTAATAGTTAAATAATGAAACAAGCACGCCGACCATAAAAGCACGCAGAAGCGAAGGTTTAAATACGAAATATAATAAGGTTCGACGCCGTAACCAAGGAGCATGCCCAAACAGCAAAGTAAAAATCGATCCAATCACTAGGTAGGTATTCATCGCAGAGAACTGTACAAACAGAAACACGAGACCCGATTGAAGGCGTCAGCTGCTACATCGAAGAAACGTGCCACACTCAGAAGAAATGTGCTCGTTTTAGGAGCATCAAAAAGAGTTGACTGTTGATAAGGTTGCTTTAAGAAGCTCTTGAAAAAAGACGAGAGCAATAGATATAACATAGTTATTATGATCTTGCAGATTCATTTGACAAATTATGTGATCGACAGCTGCAGAATGCCTATCAAACATGCACAACAGCTGCTCGAGGGCCAGTGAGAAAGTACAAATAGTGTAGGAACTGAGACCACAAAATGGATGTGGGAATTGGGATGGATGCTATCAGCAAACTAGTATACAGGTTGCAAAAACATTACAGTTTGGATCAAAGAACTTCTCATTCGTCATTGGCTTATAAATACAAAGCGGCAAGTAGTTGATACCAGAAAAACATCAAGGCTTTTATTAAGCACCTCAATTCAATTCAATTCAAAATTAATCATTCCATTATAGATATAATAAAAGGCTTAACATAATATTGAAAAAGCAGGCAAGAGAAAAGCAGTCATGATAGCAAAACTGCAAAAAAAAAAAGAAACATTTCCCTTAGGGCGCAGTTGCAAAGTAATTAAAACTATGCTTACCAGTATCCATTGATTCCTCTGGTTCTTCGTGTTTCTCATCTTTAGCAGCTGGGGTTTGTACATTTGAGCTATCAATGGTTTTGCTGGCAGCCTGCTCACTATCACCATTGCTGTGTGGGTGGCCATTTTCCTTCACCTCCACTGTGACAGCGCTGCCATCGCTGGTGCCAGTAGTCATCATTGCACTGGAAAACAGGGAAAAAACACCATCAGCACAGTGAATAATCACCAAACAGTCACCAAACAAACAGTCACCAAATAATTCCTCAACAAACAATAGTCATCTTCCTTCTAGATCACACAAAGACTTCACAAAGCCATTGGTACCCACATATCAGTCACACAGTATACAAAGAGGCAACAACTGCACTGAGCATGCACTGCAACAACAGACACAAATAGCGGCATTACGATTTTGATGGTTTTCATTGACTCAGTTTGGGGAAAAACCAGTGTTGCCTGAATTTAAGTGTAAGGATCTTCAATGATAACAACATGTCAACATTGCATTTACATCAATTTTGACCAGCAACGAAGCATAATTTTGCCTGTAAAGGTTAGGTGGATGATCAAATAGGAAGAACCTGCCTTATACTGCTGTTCAACTTGTAGGTGCTTTTTGAGTCCTTAAGCAATTCATTAATAGTTAACAAAAAGCAGCTTATAATTCATTGTGCAATTAGCTGGCTAAGGCATATTGTTATAATGCCCAGTGTGCATCCGGAAGTTGGGTAGGAAATAGGACCATAACCAATGACAATCTAAGGACTAAGTGGTTAGTTCATGGTTGCCAACACCACAATTAATTATCTGTACTGATGAATAGGTACGTAATATATGCCAATAAGTTGTTAACAAACATCGCTCAAGTGTCTGCCACTAAGCTACTTCTCATTCTTACTATGTCCTCCTACTGAAGTGTCTGCGTCATTCAATGTAATTATCCCAGATTATCCCAACTCCCAAAACACACAATCAGGATCAGCTGACCAGTGACCAATCACTCACTCCATTACTGGAGGGTTGTACTTATCTCATGGTGATCATGAACAATAATAGAGAAGAAGTTGAAGCTAATTTTTTGAAACAAATGCAACTTCCATGGATATAGAGAACAAGTTGAAGCCATTTTTTTCCCGAACCAATGCAACTTCTGCGGACTCAGTTTCATTTGAGAATGTTAACATAATCTACAGATAAAGTTCGAACACAAAACAAATTGAAATGTTTTGATGTGTCAGAATGTCATACAATATTCATGAATTCAGATTCTCATATAGCAGCACAATTGCAATGGGATGACTGACTAATCCAATCACTAAAATAAGCGCCACAAACGCCTACGCATTTCCAGCCGGCATACCGTCTTTAAAACGACACCACCGCGCACAATACATAGCACAGCAAAGTTCTGACTACATAAATGATTATTACGATCATCACAAAAGCTTCTTAAACACACAGGAAGGTAATAAAACGAAAAGAAATTACACAAGCACGACACGCACCAATCACCCACATCAGCCACAATCAAGGCCATATATAGGGCCACAATTGAATGGCGGCTGCCAGATGACAACGAGAGGTTCCGGGATAGCTGAGAATTCTGCACAAAAATCCCTAGATATGCCGTTTTCGGAAATATTTCGCTGAGCTTTCATTCTTCTCAAGGATAGAAAGAACGGTAAGAACAGAACGGAAATGGAACTGACAGGTCAGAAAAGGGCCCAGTAGCGGCGGAACACCTTCAATTAAGGGGGGGGGGGACACTGCCGACTTTTGGTCCCATTCTTTCCATGCAACGCCCATAGGGCTAATGTTAAAACTTAAAATGCCTAAATCAAAGGGGGTTACGGTGCCCCGGTGCCCTCCCTGTTCCGCCGCCTATGAAAGGGCCCCTGGGCTCCGGCAGATCCAAGGAACAAATTTGCTTCTTAGTCACCACTTGACGTCACGGCAAGAGGTCACGGTAGAAAGAATGCAGTTAGAGAAAATGTCGTGCTTCATCCATTCCGCAGCTACATCGACTAATATTGTTTTTGCGTCTTTTAACTATCGATAAGCGAGTCAGAAGTGATGACACCAAAATTCGGATTTTCAATAAGCCTCAGTAATCTACCCTAGCCAGGTCAGGGCCACCCAAGGGGTCACCGTGACCGTTCCACTGACCTTCGCCGGACCTATGACCTTAACGATAGGTATCAGGCAAGCCGGTGACCTTTGAGGTCAGGTCACAGGCCACATGGGACCTTTGACGGACTTGGCAAGGTGGTGGCCTGTTTTTGTTTTTAGCATCTTTCAAAAAAACGTCGCACAGCCGCGATTTTGGCATCAGCGTGATCGTCATGCTCAGGCGTGTCAACGGTCGAATGTTGCTTGCTAATAAGAGCGGTCAGCTTAGAATGCCGACCTCAGGTCAAGGTCAGGTCAAAACCGCTAAGGTTGCGGCGACGGTGATCTAAGGTATTGCATATCGGCCGATTCTGCAGACATTTCCTTAGCTTATCGGTGGAATCCAGCTCAATTTCATCGACACCAGTTCCGGCCCCCACCACCAGCTTCCTGTCACCGGTTCCTGCCCCATCAACGAGTTCTCTTGATCACCGGTCCCGGTCCCACCGCTGAGTTCCTGTGACCTGTCCCAGTCCCCAGTCACCGGGTTCCTCTGTCACCGAACCACGGTCCACGCGGCGCAGTGGCCGCCCACGTCACCAGCAGAGGCCACGCAGTCACTAACGGATTCACAGACGCCATCAGATAAACGGACAACGAGAACGCCGAACGGGAGACATCAGACTGATTGGAGCTATTGCTCGCGACAAATGAGCGGGACAGAACGATGCTATGTAGATTGTAGAATATGTACCAGGTTTATAGGTAGGGGAAAGTGGGGTAAGACGGTCAGGGTAGGTAAGACGGGCACCCCTTCTGCAGACCAAAACAATAGCGCTACGAGCGAGAAAAATTAGGACCAGAATTGCCTTTCCCATTACACACCACCATTGAAGTCTGTTGAATTTGTGTTCAGTCAATTAATCTTTTATTTTGATTTCTTTAAAACACTCATTTCATTAAAAACATCAATAATGTATTGTGCAAGCTTTTGTGTGCAGCACTGTAGCGTTAAAAACTCGCAATCACTTAGGGTACCTACATTCATATGCCACCAGTGTTCATTTACCGCGAATTTGCTTTGTCTGCAACAAATTGTCCACAAAAAAAAATCGTGCTGAACTTCTGACATTGAGTTTGGAGTAAGACGGGCAACTATGAATCCAATAGGTCTGTAATGGTGAAAATATTTTTGTTGCTGTAGGAAAAAAAAGCATTTATAATAAGAATATATTCGATTCCGATACTCACAGACATGTTAGCAATATTCCTTCGGCACAGTTTATTCTCGAATAATGAATGTGAAAAACGGTTCTACATGGCTTCTGAACTAGGGCCTATATAGGTACGAGCATACGCCTTCTGCATGAATCTCGTATACTGCCATTTCCAAAGCACTTGAGACCAACGAGCGACTGTATCAATGCGGCTAATCTCGGGCATTTGTTGCGAGCTGTGCTGGTCGTTGAAAGAAGATGGCCGTCTTGCCCTACCCATGTGACCGTCTTACCCCATGGGGTGGGGTAAGACGGGTTTTTGCAAGGTTTTGCAAAAATAGCTGCAGTTTATTTGTTGAATCAGGTCTAAGTCTCATCTACTGGCAAATGGAAGTAAAATGTCTGAAAAAGATTTTAACTCAAATTCCCGTTTCTATGATGTTTCTAACCGACCAAAAAATGGCTCCAAAGTTAAGGTGCCCGTCTCACCCCACTTTCCCCTAGGTATTCTTTTCATGGTGAGACCGGAGTTTACCGCTTCATATGCAACACAACTTTCCGATTAAATGTTATAACTTTTATACATATCGGACTTAACCCTCGCCCGTATTGGTGTTTTACCACTGATAATCAAAGGTCAATGACCTTGACCTGACCTTCACGTGACCCTGACATCCACCATAGGTAACGCATGGAACCACCAGTATATCACATGTTTGAACATTTGCAAGCTGCAACCACATAAACAGGAACGCGCGGACATAGGCGGCGGAACGGGAGGGCACCGGGGCACCGTGCCCCCCTTTGATTTTGGCATTTTAACATTAGCCCTATGGGCGTTGCATGGAAAGAATGGAACCAAAAGTCGGCAGTGCCCCCCCCCCCCCTTAATTGAAGGTGTCCCGCCGCTACTGCGCGCGGATAATGGGAGCCAACATACGCCGAATCGCGATTCTGGCCGAACACGTTCTCGAGAAAAAGGCCACAGATCAAAGGTCATTCGGGTCAGGGCATAGACCTCTGTGTACCTCGGTATACAGAGTCCAGAGGTCTATGGTCAGGGCCATGACATTTTCAGGGCAGATGTAAAAATTGTCAACTCGAGAGTACTAAGAGCATGCTGTCGCGATCGGCCGCTTTTAGCGCGAGTTATTCGCGAAAAAACGAGAGGGGCCATTCGATCCCTATAAGTGCGAGGGTTAATTCAATGCGGGCTGTATTGACGATAACGTCGGCTTCATAAGGTCGGCATTTCCTTCACGAATTCACCCAGCAGTCCGTTCCGTTCAATTTTCTATTGCAGATCAGTTCACAATCGGTCACTTTCATTATAGACCTGCATCAGTCCCATCATCTATCATAAAAAGGTCGGTAATACGGAATCCTTATTTCCTACCCAGTCGCACCAAATAGCAGCATGTGCCAAAATCTGCTAGAGAAACTTAGTGGAGCCCCGGCGGATGACCTTGACTTGTCAATCGAGCTATATGGCAGCGGCGTAGCGCCGGGAGACCGCTGTTGGTTGACAACGCTCGCGGCGCGGAGCATCACGCCCGATCAATGCCCCCCCCCCCGTAACCCTTCCCCTTCCCCACCCGGTGGACCCGCGGTGGCCCCGCAACCGCTCGTTGATGTTGCGAATTTGTCCGCAACAAACGCCGATCTTACAGCTGAAAAGTAGATATATTCTGACGCCAGCATTTATCCTCGCGAGTCGCTGAGCAGTTTTTTTTGCAATTGCCTCTCCCTAGTTTTTATTGTGCCTGCAGAAACCGATTTCATTTAACTGCGTTGATCGCCTTATAACAGTTAAATAACACGATTATTAAGAAATCTGTGACCAAAACGAAGCAGAAATGCATTCGGCCATAAAATGGGTTTAAAATTATGCAAATGTATATAGTCGGTTGATACTAGCAAGTAGCACAGGGGTAGCTATTTGGTGTAACCGTCTTTTCCCATGGAAAATTGGCCCATGATGCGCTGTTGGCCAGTGGCCGGCGGCTGTCCTCAGGGTCTGTGCACGCCAAATCCGAGCTGCACAGCCCGCGGCCGTGCCGGCGCGCCATATAACGGAAACACGGCACAACGCTCACAAAAAGCGGGCAAGGTCAGCCAAGGTCGCTGACGCCGGCCGGCCGGTTGTTCAACCTGCGCCGGTCGGCGCGCCCCGGCCGGTCGCAGCTCGGCGCATGGCACGGGTAAAACGGGAGCCAGCCCGAACGGGTGAACAACCTCGCCAGCCGCCCGAATCCCGTCCACCCCCCGCCTCCAAAATCGGCCCAGCGTCGGCCCGAGGGGGACTGGCGCAGCGGACACAGGCCAATATTTGGCGTTCGGCTGATGACGACCAGCGCGCGGCACTCAATTCGACCGGGTCGACCGGCAATGGCCAGAGCGGGCTTCCAGCGCTGGTTCAAGGGCCGCCAGCTTTGCCCTTGGTCTGACATTGGCGACCGGTTTGCGATCTGAGAAATCACCGCAACACGCGGATATGGCCGAACGCTGGCGGCGAACCGTTTCGGTACGCCCGCCTGCACTCTGAATAACCGGACCACTATTTGCTGTGTGTTTATTTTACGCTTAGCGACCGCGGAAACGAGTTGAAAGCAAACAAATCGAACAGGATAGTGCTGGCTACAGACAGAAGCGCTAGCAAATCAGCTCAAAGGTTTATGGGCTATTAACTGAATCAGGAAGGCTTGCAGCTATACTAACGGGCGGGCAAGGCTCGGTTTTAGTGGAGGGTAGGTACCAAATCTACGGATCAAAGGCGCAGAGGAAGATAAAAAACACACGTTTCTTTCCCGCTCATGACTGGCGTTATATTTCATACTGGTTAACAGAGGGGAGCTCTGCAATCTATTTCTATGCATGACCCTCTCCTTTTTTAATATGTACCAACTCTGAAATCGGTGTTTCGATTTTACCAAGCTAGGTATTCTGGTACAAGAGGCCTCGGATGTACCCAATTCTAACTCGGGACCACGATGCTGCTGAGTCTGTTTGCTTTGTGTTTGAAGTCCTTCTTCTGAATTGGACTTCTTTTTCAGATACTTCTGAAAATTGCATCTGAATTAGGTATTGATAATCTTAAGTCGGTGACATCACTAAAATAAACAAAAGCAATAAGTTGTTATTTTTCGAGATATCAGGCTGGAGGGCTGATGCACCGTATGCAGTGGCAGCGGCGGCT